GGAGGAGGAATGGGTTCTAGGTGGTGGGAGGGAGGAAGTGTGGTAGGGTGGGTAGGAAGGAGTGGGGTTGGTGGAGAGGAGGGGTGGGTGGGAGAGGAGAGAGGAGTGGTGGGGGTTGAGGAAAGAGCGTGAGATATGAATGTGAGGTGTGTTTCTACGGTGGTGATGATAGTGGTGGCGGTGGTACTGGAGGAGGAGGAGAAACACAGGGGAAAGCAGAAACGGAAAATATATCAGTCACAACAAAAGTCCCATTGAATATGATACTAAATATGGACTTGCAAGGAAACCGTAATTGTTGTTAAATGCCATCCTCATTGTCAATATAACTGTTGCTTTTGCTGTATTTCATTTGCCGTTGATGTTGCTGTTTTAGTTGCAGTATGTGTATTTTTTTCACATACAGCTGTCATTTACTCATGTTGCCGATGGTGTAAAGATTATGCAAATGTGGTGTATCTATTTCTATATATGTATGTGGTTATAGGAAGGGTCATTGTGTGTGTATGGTGTGTATATGTACATGAGTATAAACATATAATACTGAATAGAGAAATGTATATAATTGAATGGAAAGAGATAATCTTCCATATGAAATTAGAAATAGAAATGATAATACATAATCATATATACAAAAATTCTTTGTTGTGTATATGAAATTAGAAATAGATAATACATAATCATATATACAAAGTTCTTTCTTATATATATATAAAATTAGAAGTAGAATGATACATAATCATATATACGAAGTTATTTCTTATATGTGTGAATTTAGAAATAAATGATAGATAATCATATTTACAAAAATTCTTTCTTGTGGATCTGATTTTTTTTTGTTGTCATGCTGGCGTCAATAAAATCCAATATCATTCAAGAAAGAGATGATGAATGATCTGTTGCTACCACATTTCATGTGACAAATGTAGAAAAATATGAATGAGAATGAATATCTTCACAAGACAAGAGATGTATTTAACAGGTTTCGAATACATCTCTTGTATTGTGAAGATATTCATTCTCATTCATACCTTTTCTACATTTATCTGTTGCTACGTTAGAGTGGTTTCCAAACGCAAAATGACGAAGCCCTCTCTTGTCATTGTTTAACGATTGCATGCTCTTGCAATTATTGCAGTACGTGAAGGGTATGGGGTATGGGGGTAGGGGAGGGGAAGAATTGTTGTTGTTGACACCAGAGGTCGTTGCAGATGACAGGTGGGGTGGGGGAAAGGGGAGGAAGGAGGCAGGACGGGAGGGGAGAGGGGGAAAGTGGTAGGAAGATGGGGAATAGAGAAGAGGAAATATATAGGGGATAGGGTGAGGAAGGAAGTGGGGGAATAGGGGAGAGGAAGAGGTTGGAGAGGGGGAGAGGAGGCGAGAAAGTGATGGGAGAATGGGATGGGAGGAGGAAAGAGGTTGAAGAGGGGATAGGGAGGAGGGAAGAAGTGTGGGGAATGCGGTGGGAGTAGAAAAGAGGTTGGAGGGAGATTGAGGAGGAAATTTGTAAGAAAAGGATAGGCAAGAGATGTAGGAGGGGGAAGGGAGGAAAATGGGGAGGGATTGGAAAATTGGGGAATGGGGAGGGATTGGATAATGGGGAAAATAGGGAGAGAGAAGGAAATATGTAGTAGGGAGATAGGGAGGAGAAAAGAGGTAGGAGGAACGGAAGGGAGGAGGAGAGAGGGGAGGGGAGAGGAGGGAGTTGGAAGAGTATCAGTTGAGAATAGGCGAAGGAGGGGGGGAGAGGCAGGGAGGGTGGAGGTGGTTTGCACAAGTGATGGAATGTGTCATGAGTAACATGAGGAAGGGGACAAGGTGAGGGAGGACAAGGGGGTGGTAGGAAGAGGGGGGGAGGAGAGAGAGAGAGAGAGAAAACAGGAAGAGGATGAGGAAGGAACGGCGCAGGAGGCAGGGAGTGGAGTGAGGAGAGAGCGAAGAGAATGAAGAAAAGAAAAAAAGGAAGAAGGGAATAAAAGAAGGAAGAGAAGAAATAGGCATGTACTGTCGTCGCTAATTTTGTTTTTCCTTTTCTTTTGAAAGAATTATTTTATTTTATGAGCATTTTTTTTTTGTTTCATTTGTCTTTGTCTGTCTCTTGGGATCATTACATGTATTACGGTAATTTTTATAACCAATTTAATTTATTTGTGTAATGCATTGGTAAACAGTATAGTTTAGGGAAAGATTATTATTACTATTATTTGATATTTATTGTTATTTTTAGCTTTAATGTTAGCGTTTGGTACTTCTAGTTACTATTATTAGCTCTGTTTGTGTGATACATTTCTGAAGTGTTGTTGATGTTTGTTTTGTTGTTGTTGTTGTTGTTGTTGTTTTTCATTTTTATCATCCTTACTTTTTATTTCTATTTTTTTACATCTTTGTTATAGCTACCCTTTATTTATATTCTTGGTATCCATATATTTATTTCTATGATTGTTTCTAAGATTATCCCCATCCTTAACATGAGTACATTTATGTTAAAATACGATATTCTTTTTATTCTTTATTATTCTAAAGCTATAATTCCTTTTGCTGAAAAAATATTATTAATAGCCCCTTACCGTAGAAAAAAAAATTGTATTTAAAAGAAACATTTTCTACACGAATTTTTGGGAGATGTAAATGCTCTTCTAAAAATAATAGCCCTCACAGCTCACAGAAAAAAGTTTATTTTTAAAGGAGACTATTTTTATCCGAATTTCAGCTTCAATTGATAGCAAGGAAGTGGAGATGATAATAGATAATAGTAAAACGAGACGACCGTATTTTGTTTCAATATGGCGGACGGTATGTTTACTTTCTGTCGGAGTCTCTTGATTTTTTTTTTTTTTTTACCTTTTTTTCACTTTTTCCTTTTTTTTTTACTTTTTTCACTTTTTTTTTTTCACTTTTCCTTTTTTTATTTTTTCTCTTTCCGCCTTTTTTCACTTTCCTCTTCGTTACGTAAGTTTGTTTCATAATAATGGTTTTAATAATGACGATGGTGGTGATAATGATGAGAGTAATGACAATGATAACATTAGTAATGAGGATGATCATATCGATGATGATAATAGCAATGGCAGTAACAGTAACAAAATTGATGGAAATGGTATTAGAAATGATAATGATAATTATTACCATCATCAGTCTTCATTAATCTTTCAAAATCATCTCCTTGTCTCCTCCTCCTCTTGCTCCTCCACTCTCTCTCTCTCTCTCTCTCTCTCTCTCTCTCTCTCTCTCTCTCTCTCTCTCTCTCGCTCTCTCTCTCTCTCTCTCTCTCTCTCTCTCTCTCTCTCTCTCTCTCTCTCTCCCACTTCTCCCACTCCCCACTCCCCCTCTCCTCTCTCCCACTCCCCTCTCCCTCTCTCTCCCTCTTCACTCCCGCCTCCCCTCCCTTCCTCTCCCCACTCCTCCCTTCCTCTCCCCACTCCCTCCTCCCTCCCTCCCTCCCTCCCCCCCTCCCCCCTCATCTAAGTCCACGCCGTGCCACGTGGAGCGAATGCCAGGTGTAGTGCGCGTGCAGTGCCCAGGTGAACGAGGCAGATTGTGTCCGTTCTTGAAGTCTCTCTTGGCACTTGTTTATTCCTTTGTTTATTTTAGGTACATCGTGTTGTTGGCCCGTTATTTATTTTTTTTTATTGTTTTGTTCTCTTTTAGTTAGGTTGTTTTTAGGTTTCGTCTTTATATGTATACTGAATCATAGTCGGAGAGAAGAAAATCATTTATTATTTATTTGCTATTATTTTTATTAGTTTTTTTCTCTTTTTTACAACCTGCCTTTCCTTGTGGCTTGAGGATTTTCACGGGGAATCGTTGCTTGTTAAAGGGCTAAAAAAAAAAAAAAAAAAAAAAAAAAAAAGTGAAGTAGTTTCCGAAAACAAAATTATTTTCAAAGTCAAAGAAAGTTCGTAGGTACGTGGGGGGGGGGGGGGGTTCTCGGAAAGCGATTACCGCTATTGGTGTGGTTATGTCTTTTTTTTTGTTGTGTGTTTTTTTCTATATTATTTGTAGTGGATGCATTGACGACGATGAGGATGATGATAAGAAAGATGATGATAGCAATGGCAATAACAATAACAATATTAATATTATTATCACTGTTTATTATCATTATTATTGATATTTCCTTGTTTAATATAATTATGATAATAATAATAATAATAGGAATTTGAATTGCAGTTCTGTTACTAGGGAAGAATGTTGCTCAACAACAGCGTTTCACAGTTTATTTTTTATATAACATATATATTACATGAAATTAGATCCTAGTACAATAAAATATCATCCTACCCTCCCTGCCCCACCCTACCCCCCCCCTCTCCCTCCCAACTGGCCCATGGTAATATATCGGAAAGACTTTTGTTCTTTGTTTGTTTTTTTTTTCGGAAATCTATATATAAGAAACATCCCCCCCCCCCACTCGTCCACCAATTTAACCCTTGTCGGCTTCCCCTTCACTTAATGTTTAGCTTCGTCACTCTCTCTCTCTCCCTTCCCTCTATTTTCGGTTCCTCTCAATCTCTCACTCACCTACTCACTCCATCCTTCTTTACCTTCCATCCCCCCCTCCCTCTCCTTTTTTCTCCCTCCCTCCATCTTTCTTTCTTTCTTTCCTCTCACCCCCTCCTTCTTACCTCTCCCTTTCTTCCCTCTCCTACCTCCTCCCTCCTTTCTTCCTCTCCTTTCCTACCTCCCTCCCTCCCTTCTTCCCTCTCCTTTCTTACCTCCCTCCTTCTCCCTTCCCCTCCCTACTTTTCCCTCTCTCCCTCCTTCCTCCTCCCCCCCTCCCCAGCTACCGATCCCACTCCTCGATCTCGAAGAGCACGCGCTGGATCTTCATCTTGGCGAGCGACTTGGCCTTGGCGGAGAGCTTCCTGATGGCGGCGGCGACGTAGCTGCCGAAGAGCTCCTCCTCCTCCTGCGGGACGAACACCTGGGGCGGCGCTGCTCTGCGTGGGGCTTTGGCGTCCTCGGTGGGGGTTGTTGGGGGCCGTGGGGGTCGGGGGGTTCTGACGGGGTTGGGGGTGGGGAAGGGAGGAGTCGCTGGCGATGGAGAGTCGGGTGGTGGAGGCGAGGGGGAGGAGGAGGAGGAGGAGGGCGGCGTCCCCGGGGAGTGGACGGGCGTGTGGTGGGCGCGCCGCTTTCCTGAAGGGGGTGAGAAGGGTGAGAATGAGTATATATGGTATTTGTGTTTTGTATTTTGCAATCGAAATTTCTCTCTCTCTCTCTCTCTCTCTCTCTCTCTCTCTCTCTCTCTCTCTCTCTCTCTCTTCTCTCTCTCTCTCTCTCTCTCTCTCTCTCTCTCTCTCTCTCTCTCTCTCTCTCTCTCTCTCTCTCTCTCCAACACTTCTTTTTCCCTCCCTCCTCCTTCCTTCACTCTCCATTCATCCCTCCCTTTCTCCTCCACCTTCCCTCCCTTCCTTTTCCTCATTTCCTCCCTCTCCCCCTTCTCCTTTCGTTTTTCCTTAACTAAATCTTATCCCATATCCTGCCCCCCTCCACTCCCTTCTTCTCCTCTCTCCCTCTCCCTCTCCTCTCCTCTCCTCTCCTCTCCCTCTCCCTCTCCTCTCCTCTCCTTCCTCTCCCTCCTCTCCTCTCTCTCTCTCTCTCTCTCTCTCTCTCTCTCTCTCTCTCTCTCTCTCTCTCTCTCTCTCTCTCTCTCTCTCTCTCTCTCTCTCCCCCCCCAAACTCAGTCAACCCTCGAGCATGAATACTCACTGCTGGGCAAAGGCAAAAACACCGTCACCGGGTCTTCGTGTTGGTGGCCGTTGACTCGCCCCTTCTCGTCCTCTTGTTTCCTTCGCTTTCTTTCTTCTTCTTCTCCTTGTCCACTTCCTGATCCTCCCCCTCCTCTTCCTCCCCTTCCTCCTCCACCTCCAGCTTGAGGTCGGGCGTCTCGACGACCTCCTCCTCCACCCACTCGACCACCTCCTCCTTGATCCTGAGGCCCGGAGTGAGAGGGCCGTCGTCGGAGGCGGTCGAGGACGGAGGGGCGGGGTTGGAGGTGGTGTCCTCGTCCTCGTCGTGGTGGTGGGCCTCGAAGGGGAGGCTGAGGATGGCCGTGTCGTCCTCGCACAGCACCGTCTCCACGTCCGCGGCGGCGACCACCCACTTGCTGGAACCGGACAGGCTGGGGCGGAAACAGAGGGCGTGTTAGGTTGACAGGGTCTCGTAGCGTTTATTTTCTGTGATTGATATGGCGTGTGTTTTAATTTCGAGTCGTGACGTTTTGTTTGCTATTGACTTTCTGTGCGTTGCTTTCGTTGTCATCACTGACATGGTGTAATATGAGACTTCCAATTTATTTATTTATTATTATTTATTATTATTTTTTGAGGGTGTGGATCATTTAATTAATGATAAGGGTGTATAGACGACGTCCCGTTGCAGTGATAAGCTAACGGACCCGACTGCAACGACCACTTTACGTACAAATATGAACTTTCAAAACGGCTAAACATACACATGGAAGCTAATATGAAACTACACTTATAAATGAACATATAAACACCATATTCTTAAATTTAAAACTTTTCGACAAAATATTGTTAATCGATTAAACCAGAACGTACAGGTCACAGTAATTGAAAAGGCATTGTACATTGCAGTGTCTCTATAACGCGTTCTATGTACCTTCCCGTGCTTATCAGTACACGGTCTGGGATGTTTAGTTATGTCATTCACTTCGGCTTATCTAACTAAACCTTGTGCGCACATTACACGTATGTGAGGGGGTGAACTACAGAGAAAAGAGGGGAGGTGGGAGAGAGAGAGAGAGAGAGAAGAGAGAGAGAGAGAGAGAGAGAGAGAGAGAGAGAGAGAGAGAGAGAGAGAGAGAGAGAGAGAGAGAGAGAGAGAAGAGAGGAAGAGAGAGTAGGGGAGCGAGAGAGATTGAGAAGAGGGGGGGGAGTAGGGGCGAGAGAGATTGAGAAAGAGGGGGGTGGGGGGGCTAGATAGCACGCAGAGGAAATGTATAAATAATCCAAGTTTTTTTTTCTCTGTAATCGTCGTTGCTGTTATCATTCGAACGTTGGATGAAAAATAATTGAACTTCCGAATGACATATTTGTATCCAGTCCATTTCACTCATCTACTTGGATAAAATTCAAGATCTAGAATGAATTAGTAAAGTTTACAATACTGCGTGAAACATTCAGGCTAAGTATATCTGAAATGTTTGTCCTTTTTCATCTTCCTTGTTTTGTGTTTTGATGATGATGATGCAGGTAATATTAATAACAACTAAACATGTTATTAATATCATGGCAGGTAATATTAATAACAACTAAACATGATATTAATGATGATGTTCATAATTTCCATTATCGATGATGGTTGTGGTATTATTCTGGTTTTATTGTTATTATTGTTACTGTTATTAGTATTGTTATTATTAGTATTATTGTCCTTGTTATTGTAATTATTACCATTGCCTTTATTATTAATACAGTTGTTGTTATTATTGCTGTTATGATTAGTATGGTTATTAATTGTATTATCATCATTACCTATGATTATCATTATCATCATTTTTGTAATTGTTTTGTTGACGCTGTTATTATATCATTTTATTATTTTATTGTTATGGTTGATACTATTTTTTGTATTAAAAATTCGTTATCATTGTCATACACAGTAAATATTGTAGTTGTTGTCGCTGGAAAATTAAGAATGAGTTGGAGCGCTTAGATTAAATTAATTAAATCATAATGGATAATCCTAATGTGAAAAGTCGTGAAGGCTAAGTTAATGAATGGGGCAGGAGGGAGGGAGGAGGGAGGAAGGGGTGGAGCGGGGAGGATGGGTAGGAGAGAGAGGAGGATAGAAGATAAGGGGACGGGGAGGGAGGGGAGAGGAGGAAGGAGAGAGGGATAAAAGTAAGTTATTTAATGAATAAAGGAGGGAAGGAGGAGTTAGTTTAGGGTTGAGGAAGGATGGAAAGGAGAGAAGAAGGATAGAAGAAAAGGGGATAAGGATGAGGGAGGGTAGAGAATAAGGATGAGAGAGAGGAAGGGAAGTAAAGAGGACAAGGGTGAGGGAGGGAGGGGAGAGGATGGGAAGGAAGAAGAGGGATGGAAGAAGAAAGGGGGATAAGGAAAGAAGGGAGAGGTAGGTGTGGCTATATAAATGAGAGAGGAAGGGAAGGAGATGGAGAGGTGAAGGAAGAGAAGAGGTAGTTGGAGAAAAAAAAAAGTTAAAAAGTGGAAGGCCAGGGATAGGAAGAGGAAGAAATGAGAGAAGTAAAGGACGATTAGGGGACAGTCATACGGGGAAGATGATTAGGTCAAAACACGTTCAGACAGGTTTGTGGTTTTCCTCCGCCTCGTGACGTCATTAGTAGTACCTGGCGTACAAGTCGCTCTCAGTGGGCTTATGGATGATGTACGAGTTGAGGAACTGCATCTGGTCGAAGAACCTCCATCGGGGGCGGCCCTCCTTGTCGCCCACCATGACCGACTTCTTGTTCCTCACGTAGACATCCCTGAGCGTCCGCCAGCGCTCCTTGCACGCCTTCCACGCCTCGGGGCAGCCCAGGCTCCGCGCGATCTCGGCCCACGTGACGGCGCACTTCCGCAGGTCCTTGTAGTCCTTGTGGCGCGTGTCGTACAGGTGTGGGTACTGCCTCACGTGCTCGATCAGGTCCGTCTCGCAGACGCGCACACTGCTCGCGGCGGCCATGCTGGCGGGGCGGCGGCGGCGGTGGGAGAGCAGCGGCGCGTCGTCGCAGCGGGCGGGGGCTCGTCGTGGGTCTGGCAGCGCGACGAGCGGTGGGGACGCGGACCCGGGGTACCCCCGCCCGCTCGAACGCGTACGCCCAATCAGCGCGCGGAGCCTTATCCGTGCTCCTCCGAGCAGCGGTCGGGGCGCGAGCCTCGGCTGGGACGCTCCGACGCTCCCTGGGCGGACCTCTCTCGCACTCGCCTCGCTCTCCCCTCTTCCCGCCGAATTCCTCTCGCTAGTTGCTTCCAATGGCGTTTCCTGGCCTCCCGTGAGCACAACGGAGCGGCGCCGCCCTGGGAGCCACTGCAGGGGTCGTCGCGCTGCTGCTAGACGAGCGACAGACACACTAGAGAGGACGGGCACCAGAACGACCTTGTCTTGTCTGACCCACAACACGCGAGAGACAGCACTGGGGCGGCGGCGAGCCGAGTGCGCAGCCGTCGCCGGTCGGTCGTGCCGCCCTGCCATCGGGGCGCGTCGCCTGCGTCGGTTCGGGGTTGCTTTGTGTGGGCGAGTCCGTGGGGGACTTGATATGATTCAATCGGTCTGATCTCATTCAATCTCTCGGTTGGTCTAAATTTTCTCCTCTCATCGTCCTCTCTCTCTCTCTCTCTCTCTCTCTCTCTCTCTCTCTCTCTCTCTCTCTCTCTCTCTCTCTCTCTCTTCTCTCTCCTCTCTCTCTCTCTCTCTCTCTCATAGGCCAAGAGAAAATAAAGAGATAAAGCTAACTGGACTGCAGATAGATGGTTAAATTGTGTTGGATTGCAGATGGAACCACTAACGACCGAAAGAATTCCTCGGAATGCTTGCTCTAATTATACATTTCCCTGGCTGCTTTCCTCACTCGATCGTTGCGCGCGAGGGCTAAAACGCTCTTCAGGAAGATGAATCATACGCACGGAGCATCAGGAGGGTAGTCGAGTGAGTGACGGATTTGGAGTGTGGTAAAAAAAGGCTGATAGTAGAAAATCTCTAGTGTGTGTGTGTAGGAGGGGGGCGTGTGTGTGTGTGTGTGTGTGTGTGTGTGTGATGTGTGTGTGTGGTGTGTGTGTGTGTGTGTGTGTGTGTGTGTTGTGTGGTGTGTGTGTGCGTTGTGCGTGTGTGCCGTGCGTGCGTGTGTGTGCGTGTGCGTGTGCGTGTGCGTGTGCGTGTGTGAAATAGAGATGGGAGAGGGATGGGGCGGTGGAGAAAAAATGAGGAAAAGAAATAAATGAGAGCATAAGAAAGAGGGGAGAGGAGTGGTAGAGAGGGTCAGAGCTAACCTATAATGGCCGGTATGGTCACAGATAATTTAATTACAATCAGTATTTCGTAACAATTTGTTTTTCCTGTTGTCACGTATAATTGATTTGTTACCTCGTTATTTCTTTTTTTCACCATTCACAGTTTGCATACTTGTAATAACAAACGGTAATTGAGAAAAAATCTTATGTAATGAGTAAAGTCTTAGTTTATGTATGACAATGAGCCTTCAACTGCTTTATAGTAATTTTGGTAACTTATTTCATCTACAACAGCTGTTTATAAACTGCTACTTTACCTTGAATAACCGTTAGTTTCCGTATAAGGGCTTATTAAGTTAATCACTGTTGCCCCTTAATTACAATAGCTTCAGTTAAGGGGAAAGAGGTGGGAACGGGGAAAGGAAGGGAGGGGTGGGAGGGAAGGAGGGGGTAAGGAAGGGGGAGAGGTGGAGGGAGGGGGTAAGGAAGGGGAGAGGTTGGGAGGAAGGGCCGAGAGCCGTGGGAGGGGAAGGGGGTAAGGAAGGGGAGCAGGTGGAGGGAAGCGGGCGTAAGAATGAGAGGTGGGCAGGAGGGCAGGTAGAAGGCGAGGAGGCTGGAGGGAAGGGTAAGAAGAGGAGACGGCGTGGGAAGGAAAGGGGTAAGGGAGAGGTGGGAGGCAAGGCGGTAAGGGAGCGGAGAGGTGGAGGTAAGGGGTAGGAGGGAGAGTGTGGGAGGGAAGGGCGTAAGGGAGGAGAGGTGGACGGGAGGGGGTAAGGGAGCGGAGACGGTGGGAGGGAAGGGGTAAGGGAGGAGAGGTGGAGGGAACGGGGCTAAGGGAGGGAGAGGTGGAGGAGGCGGCGTAAGGACGGAGAGTGGGGGAGCGGGGGGGGGAAGCGGAGCGGCCGCCCTATAATCTGCGTGCACTTCACTCACTATGACATTAAGGTCAAGAGTCCCTAAGGGTAAGAGGGAGAGTGGGAGCGGTTAAGGGTTCGTGTAAAAGTTACCTCGCACTGTAGTAGATATACTGCCGTCGTGGTACCGCTCGTCCACACACACCGCGATCGATCCCATACGCTATCTTCTGTACGCCGCCATTCGGGTAAGCGGAGGGAGAGGTGGGAGGGCAAGGGTGGTAAGGGAGGGAGAGGTGGGACGGGAAAGGGCGGCCCGTAAGGGAGGGAGA